AAAAAAACACTTTTAAGTCCAAAAATATGCAGAAGAAGCTCAGAGAGACAGGTCCCTAATTCCCATGAGTATAAGAAGGAGGAGGAGGAGTACTGCACAAGTAGACTTAAAAGATTACAACTCAAGGTACAATCACAACTGATTGTAAATTTCCATGACTAAGCAAGGCAGTGAGCATGACCCTTTTTTTTGCTACAGAGTGCAGAGAAGAGCAACAAGGATGATCAGGGGACTGGAGGCTAAAACATATAAGGAACAGCTGCTGGAATTGGGTATGTCTAGTTTAATGAAGAGAAGGACGAGGGGCGACATGATAGCAGGGTTCCAGTATCTCAGGGACGGCCACAAAGAAGAGGGAGTCAAGCTATTCTCCAAAGCGCCTGAAGGCAGGACGAGAAGCAACGGGTGGAAACTAACCAAAGAGAGAAGCAACCTAGAACTAAGGAGAAACTTCCTGACAGTTAGAACAATTAACCAGTGGAACAACCTGCCTCCAGAAGCGGTGAATGCTCCAACACTGGAAGTTTTTAAGAAGAGACTGGACAGCCATTTGTCTGAAATGGTATAGGGCAGGGGTAGGCAACCTTGGCTCTTTTATAACTCATGGACTTCAACTCCCAGAATTCCTGAGCCAACCAAAGTGGGACAAAAGCTAGATTTAGAGCCCGTTTATTGCCATAAATAAGTCTTAGCGGGGAAAAAAACTAGAATTAGAGCCAGTTTATTGCCATAAATAAATCTTAGCGGAAAAAAAAACTAGAATTAGAGCCTGTTTATTGCCATAAATAAGTGTTAGCGAAAAAAAACTAGAATTAGAGCCAGTTTATTGCCATAAATAAGGCTTAGCGGAAAAAAAAACTAGAATTAGAGCCTGTTTATTGCCATAAATAAGTCCTAGAAAAGCCTATGGAAAAAATCTATCTACTTCTGTATTTGCTACCATCAACTTGATGGCACCTAATAAATCAGAGGCCCAATTTAAGGGGAGTCCATGGTTAAGCAAAAGAATACTTTAGCTTCATTTTGGTAGTTATAATTAGCACACATTTATTTTTAATGTTATAGTTTATTAGGTCATGTGAATGGTTATTGTATTTTATTACAGTCAGTCCTCTTGGGCATATTTCATGGAAATGAAAAAGATAAAAATTTAAGAAATCAATCTTGTCTTCTACAGATGTCTGTAATGGTATAGAGTTTTCTGACTGAGCAGGGGGTTGGACTAGATGACCTCCAAGGTCCCTTCTAACTGTTATTCTGGCTTCCCCCATTGACTTTGCTTGTCAGAATCCGGCTGGGAAAGTCACAAATGGTGATTATATTAATTCCAAGACCGAGTGGCTGTGGTTGCCGGCGCCCCGGCATAGTCAGCTGACTCCATCGCTGACTATAGGGGGCGAGACTCTGGCCCCCTCAGAGAGGGCACGCAACTTGGGTGTCCTCCTGGATCCACGGCTGACACTGGAAGACCATTTGTCGGCCGTGACCAGGGGGGCGTTTTATCAGGTTCGCCTGATTTACCAG